TGAATTTTCAGATTATAAAAAAAGGGACATATACCTCTTTCAATATTAAAATTTATTACGTTCTTATAAATTAGTTGACAGATTTCGAATGACAACACTTCCTTTAAACTCTTTCACGAAAAAAAAACATTGAATATGTATCATGTCACTTCCTTTAAACTACTTTTCAATATAGGTTCAAGTATGCATTTAGTAAGGATATTCATTTGGATTCCATAAACTTTTGGATTATAAAAAAAATATTTAATTGAAGTGACAACATGATCTCCCCTTTACCAAGGATATTATTTTGCGTCAACTGATTTCAGAAAGGATTATTTATGTCAACATTTTCCCTATTCTCTTCAATCTCTTTTCATTGGAATGAAAAAAAAAAGCTGTTTTGATTTTAGCGGATTGTAGGAAATTAAATACGTACAAAAGGGTGGAAGATCATGATGAATATTCTCATCTCAGGCTAATGGGCCACGAGATATTTTGTCATCGTTAAGAAAGAAGACAAACCAAAACAATGGGCTTTTTAACTCAAAGCCTTTTCGTATTCTCATGGCCTTCCTTGTATTGCATCACAATATAAACGACGCGCATTTATAGTTTGATAATTATAGACGGCACAGCGTTGTTCACATATATCAGCTTCATATAATAGCATAGCGACACGTCAAGTAGGGATAAATGAACGGCCAGGATCTCCCCCAACACAAGATGAAATGCAATTGGCCGGGGTTGTAGATCCACGAAATATGATTGGTCCACGTCATCGCAAATGACATGCTCCTGCCGTTGAAGTCGGACGCCAGACCTTTATAAGCCTCGACCCCCCCCCCAATCAGGGCGTTGTTAAAAAAAAAAAAAAAAAAAGACTCGCTTCCAACTGTTGGACTTGCCATGGCTCGTTCGTTCGGAGCACGCGGTGCGGTTGTGTTGGCGATCCTCTTCTTCGGTAAATGGTCCCGAAATCCATTATATTTCAACTGCATCTGAATGTGTTTCTCAGTGGGTTTGGATGACTTTTTCCCGCGCTGCGTTTCTTTTTTGTTCGGTGGAAGTCATCTTAATCTCGGCTCTGCTTGATCTGTCGTTCAGACAGCTAGGTTTTTTGTTCCTGCTGCTTCCAAGTTTGATTGTACTGCTTAAATCTGATAAAACGTTTCGTTGTTCTGAATTTAATGATGTTTGTGTACAATGCTGTGCGAATATGAGGTTTGATGTCATGTAGCGTTGAGCTTCTTATTGCATTGGCTAGTTTTATGTGTGCTGCTACTTCCAATCAATCTGTTTGAGTATTGACCACGATTAATCTGTATGTCTTGCTGTTATTGTGGAAGGAAATGAGAATCACTGTTGTTGTCTTTTTCATGTCGATGTGGTGATCTGACAATGTTAATGGTATTTGTGCGACATTTGGAACTAGTTCCGTGTTTAAGCAATGGTTGATGTAGTTTTAGTATCCTCTAATATGAGTAATGTCTACCTGATTAACCACGACATCAGACACTTTCTCTTTGCGTGTAATGACGATGCTTGGTTGCTTTTGTCTATGCCGAGTCATGTGGGTCACATTAATCAGGATATGGAAGTTTAAAGTTTGCTTTTGATTTGGTTATTGATTATGTGGATTTTATGCTTCAGGATGTCTGTATGCATCCATTGCGACAGAAGAGGCCACAAAGTTGGGAACAGTTATAGGGATTGATCTTGGTACCACCTACTCTTGTGTTGGTGTTTACAAGAATGGTCATGTGGAAATTATAGCCAATGACCAAGGTAACCGTATTACTCCCTCATGGGTGGCTTTCACCGACTCCGAGAGGCTGATTGGTGAGGCTGCGAAGAATCAGGCGGCTGTAAATCCCGAGAGAACCATCTTCGATGTCAAGAGATTGATTGGAAGAAAGTAATATACTTGTCATTTTTGTTTGTCTTCATATGCTTACTTTTTCCTCGAAATGTTGCTAATAGCACCTTCCTCTGGCAGATTCAATGACAAAGAGGTCCAGAAAGACATGAAGCTTGTTCCTTACAAGATTGTTAACAAGGACGGGAAGCCGTACATTCAAGTGAAGATCAAGGATGGTGAGACCAAGATCTTCAGTCCAGAAGAGATCAGTGCCATGATCCTGACCAAGATGAAGGAGACAGCTGAAGCATACCTTGGAAAGAAAATCAAGGATGCTGTTGTCACTGTTCCTGGTGAGATGAAATACCTACCTACGTTTCGTATTCTCTGATGCATCTTTGTTTCTCGAGGTATTTGTATAACTAAGTCAAGCTTTCTGTCTTTCCTCTATGCAGCTTACTTCAATGATGCCCAGAGGCAGGCCACCAAGGATGCTGGTGTTATTGCAGGGCTTAATGTTGCTAGGGTCATCAACGAACCTACAGCTGCTGCCATTGCCTATGGTCTGGACAAGAAAGGTGGGGAGAAGAACATCCTTGTCTTCGACCTTGGTGGTGGTACCTTTGATGTCAGTGTCTTGACCATTGACAACGGTGTGTTTGAGGTTCTCTCCACAAACGGTGACACTCACTTGGGAGGTACATCAAATTTGGCAACAACGTCATGATCAATGATATAAGAATCCAAAAGGGGTTTGGATGTTTTACAGATGCGGTTGTGTTTGTGTGAGCAGGTGAGGACTTTGACCAGAGGATAATGGAGTACTTCATCAAGTTGATAAAGAAGAAGCATGGAAAGGACATCAGCAAGGACAACAGGGCTCTGGGTAAGCTCAGGAGGGAATGTGAGAGAGCCAAGAGAGCTCTGAGTAGCCAGCACCAAGTCAGGGTTGAGATCGAGTCCCTCTTTGACGGAACTGATTTCTCAGAGCCCCTGACCAGAGCTCGGTTTGAAGAGCTGAACAACGACCTGTTCAGGAAGACGATGGGACCGGTGAAGAAGGCGATGGAGGATGCTGGTCTACAGAAGAGCCAGATTGATGAGATTGTGCTTGTGGGAGGAAGTACGAGGATTCCCAGCAGCTTCTGAAGGACTACTTTGAGGGGAAAGAGCCAAACAAGGGTGTGAACCCGGACGAGGCTGTTGCTTATGGTGCTGCTGTCCAAGGTGGCATATTGAGCGGAGAGGGCGGTGATGAGACCAAAGGTATTGTGTTTGCGCTCCTTTCCAATTTACATCACGTATCCCATCCTTGGCTTTTGTGAAAAAAGGTTATAGTTAACAGATATTTGTGGCGTGTATAATTGTATATAAGCAGATATCCTTCTTCTTGACGTGGCTCCACTGACATTGGGTATCGAGACGGTGGGTGGAGTGATGACGAAGCTGATCCCGAGGAACACAGTCATCCCGACCAAGAAATCCCAAGTCTTTACCACATACCAAGACCAGCAGACAACTGTCTCCATCCAGGTGTTTGAAGGCGAAAGGAGTATGACCAAGGACTGTAGGCTTCTTGGGAAGTTCGACCTCTCTGGAATTCCCCCTGCCCCAAGGTTCGTATTCTTGTAGTGCCCATCAATGCACGTTGTGAATTATCACTCAATAAATAATCTTAGGAACTCTTATACGTATATCGGGTTTGTTTTTTGTGGGGGAAAACAGAGGAACACCACAAATAGAGGTGACATTTGAGGTGGATGCCAACGGGATATTGAACGTGGTAGCGGAGGACAAAGGGACCCGAAAGTCAGAGAAGATAACAATAACGAACGACAAGGGAAGACTGAGCCAAGAAGAGATAGAGAGAATGGTGAAGGAGGCGGAGGAGTTTGCGGAAGAGGACAAGAAGGTGAAGGAGAGGATAGACGCAAGGAACAGCCTGGAGACGTACGTGTACAACATGAAGAGCCAAGTGAACGACAAAGACAAGTTGGCGGAGAAGCTGGAAGCAGAAGAGAAGGAGAAGATAGAGGCGGCAGTGAAGGAGGCGTTGGAGTGGTTAGATGACAACCAGAGCGCCGAGAAAGAAGACTACGAGGAGAAACTGAAGGAGGTGGAGTCGGTCTGTAACCCGATTATCGCTGCGGTCTACCAGAGGTCCGGCGGGGCGCCTGGTGGAGAGTCATCCACCGACGATGATGACACTCACGAAGAGCTTTAGTTTTAATTCATCCGACTACTCTTTCTGGTGTGTTATTTTTGTTGATTGATTGATGACCGCAAGGGGATAGAGGTCGTATTAGGTAGGTGTAAGGTTTGAGGATACACAGGAGAAAACTTTTTTTTTTCTTCTTCATTTGATCTTTTTATATTTCATGTTTTTTGAATTTTAGGAAGGGAAGGTTAAAGGGAAAAAAAATACAATGAACTGTACGTGGATGAGGTGGAAGGAATTTCACAATAATATGACATGTGTATGTATGGTGCGTGTAGGAGAGGGAAGCTTCACTTTGTCAACGGAAACAAATCTAATTTCCGGAGAGACATTAAAGGAACAGAGAGGTTCCTCAGTTTGAGGAGACATTACATTACCAATGTAATGATATATATATATATATATATATATATATATTTGCAGGAAGCGTAGACGAGCTAATGGGGCAATGGGCACATGACGCCACATGTTATTATACGAAATAGTTTAATGTCTTCATTCATATGATTTCCACAACATATGGTTCAGCTTTTTTTGAACCGAAACGGCACCGTTTGCGGTAAGATGGATGAGCATTCCATTTAATTTTCAATCAATCACGTAAACGTAAATATATTTATTTACGGAGTAAAATGAAAATCCATTAATAGCTCTCCTTCCGTCCCTTTGGTTTCTGAAATCTCTCTAATCTCAGACATTTCATCATCTCCCCCTCCCGAGAATTCTTTGTTCCGGCATCATCAATGGATAACGGCAACAACAGCTTGAGCATCATGTCCAGGGAGAAGCTGGACCAGATGGCCACTTGGGTTTCCACCACCGTCGTCTCCGCCTTCTTCTCCTCCCTCGAGCGCTGCTCCTGCGTCAACCTCTCCACCACCGATCCCGACGACGACGACGACGCCCTCTCCAATGATCGCCCTCTCGCCCTCTCCGCCGCTCCTCATCCCTCTCACGACATCGTTTGACTCCTCCGAATTTTTCTATATTCATGCTCGATTCGTGATGCTATTGGCTAGGGTTTATTTGATCTCATTGTATATCTCTCAGCGATTCTTTTATATGTAACCAGAGAACGATAATTGTTTGCCGGGGAAATATTTATGTCTCGTCGTCTGCGATTCATTCGGGTTTCGATCCCGCATTTGAGGTTTTTGATGACATGAAACCGAGAAATCGTGTGCGGTTTATTTACTGTATGGTATGAGAATTGAGATGTGCTCTTCAGCCTCTCGATTTCCGATTTGCAGTCTCATTTTGTTTTAGCGTCATATCTTGTTCATCTCAATGCTATTGGTATGTGATTGATTATTTCTTCACAGCTCTCCTGTTCGTATAAGGGTGATTGTATCAGCTTAGGCATATCTGTTATTCCAGATTTCTGGGTTTTAAATTCAAGCTGATGATATCAGAAAATTCTAGTTTACAACCATTAATGTAGTTTCTAAGTTGATATCCCCGCAGTTTCAGGGTTTTGAAACTGATGTAAAGCGGAAAGAAGAAACGTGGTAGTGTAAGATCTTTGCAGGACCATTCAAAAGTAGGTCAATTTTCTGATGAGACTTACAGAGAGATTGGAAGAGTGGAGGGAGTCCAAGCGTATGCCTGGCAAACGAGATTCATCGGGCAACAGAATTGAAAGCACAGTTCATGGCAATCTAAAGGGGTTAGTGTTTCATTTATCGGTGTTGAGTTGTCTACTTTCCTTGGATAATTTGTTATCTAGCATCTGTTGTAGATTCTCAAGTAGAAGGGGTAGGATATAATAGCTCACATTTCATAAGATATTGCTTATGATTCTCGATTACAAAGCTCTCTCTCCTCCGACGCAGAAAATGCGATGAAAGACAACACTGGATTAAGTAGAATATTGTTCTTCTATTGTCTGTCTTATGCTACAAGGAGTATGTTTTCATTAGAATCTGCAATAATCCTTTTACCCCATACAATACATAAATTTTTTTTTTGGTTGGGTGATGACATTATCTCATGTTCTTTCAGGGTAGGGGAGGAAGAAAACTGACCAAAGTAGTGGTGGTGGGTGGGTCTCAATCGCGATGCTCTCTCCAGCAGAGAAGAATGATGAGACAGCGTCGGATAATGTACAGCCTCGCTCTCTTCTCCTTCAGAACCCTAGGCTGTGGACACTTGTTCTTCACCTGCTGCTTTTGCAACCAACCCTTGTTTGAATCCATGAACTTTCACTTTCACTTCACTTGAGAAGTTGATGCAGAAATTAGTATCCTGTTTTTTTTATAGGGTGCGGGGGCTTTGTTTTGAGATTTGAAGTGAGAGTGGTAAGGATGAATGTGAAACAGGAAAAAAGCAAAGGAGTTTCGGTTACAACCTTGGGGTTTTTGTCTCAGTCAAACATGGTGTTGTGCTGCTTTAGGGTTTGTTTTGTATTGGTCATATGAGAGGATCAGTAATTCCAAGAGAGTTCCAGTCCAGAGTAACTGTCTTCTTCTTCTGACAGGAGACATCGGTTACTGCTTCTTCAATGCCCAGAAAAGGACAAATCCCCAGGTACCCTTTTCTAACATCTGTTTAGGGATATCGAATGTTTCTCTGTGTAATAAATGTCTCTGGGTGAAGTCAAAAACAAGGGGCTTTCCCTTGCTATGTAAGCTCTTCTAGAAGCCGTTTTAGTCCCTTCCTTCCCCCCCCCCCCCCGTGTCTCCCCCCCCCCCCCCCCCTGTTTGTTTTTGTGTGTGTGTTTAAATTATCATCTAATGAAGCCATCGCTTGGCAGGCTTGTGGATGTTGGAAGAGAAATAACATTCTCCTTTGGATCGTATGGATGCCCAATGGGGATTTGGTATGTGCATGTCACGAGTGACGTCTCTTTTAATGATTCAATAATTTATTTACTGATACTACATTCCACATCGGCATGTTCAATATTAATTCCCTCGAACATGGTACAAAAGTTAATTTCCTATGCATGATACCATCAGTTCATTATAAATTCCGATTTCTCCTCCTTGAGATTCTCAATGAAAAGTCAATATACGCCCCTCTTCCTTTATTTTTTCTTAAGCATTTCAGAAAAATATTTTCATCAATTAGAATGAGTGCCCAATATTTATAAGCTGAGATGGATTGGCAAATAACCAGTTCCTGTAAACACGATCTTTTTTTTTTCGTAATGCATGGGGAAATAGAAGAAGACAACAGCTCCAAAGGTAGGGGTGTAAAACGGGTCGGCTCGGCCCGGCCCGGCCCGGCTCGTTCCGATCCAAGAAAATTTTAGAATATAATAAAAATATTTAAAATTTTAAATAAAATAAATTAAATATGTAATAAAAATATAATTTGTATATAAAAATATATTAAAATATATAAAAAAAAATTGGAAAAAAAAAAATTGGCCCGCGAGCCAGCCTCGTGATGGGCAGCTCGTTTGACCCGTTTTTTTCTGGACTCAATTATTCTCAGCCCACCTCAGAAGAATATGGGCTGGCTCGCGAGCCAACCCGCGGGCCAGAACCCATTTTACACCCCTATCCAAAGGCGGAGGAGGACATTCAATTATTCTCCAGATTGCATTAAAATTAAGTTTTATATAAGTCAGCATCTCTTGCTAGTCATGTCGCCCACAAATCTTGATCCACCTGTAATGCAATATCTTCTGTTCCATAAGATGTACACATAGCAATAGCACCCCCAAGTACTAACCAACGTTTAAAGTTACGAAAACATAAGTCTCAGATCCATGATTTGCATAAATATGTATGCATATGTGTGTTCTTGGGACCAACCCACTTATCAACAAAATCATATATATAAAAGTTAAAGAGGAATGGTTAGTGGAGAGGGTAGTGGGATTTCGGTCCATTCCTTATATGTTTATTCCCTCCAAGATTGCAGTTACCAATCAGCTGGCTCTATCACTTGTATTTTTCATGGGATTAATTATCTAATTATGAACTTTCAATCGTATCGAATCACATTAGAATGATTAGATAATAACAATACGGCAGATGGCAGCTCCTCATTGGTTAAAGAGAATTAATTGGAGATACGAAATTGTATTTCTCTGTAGCGTACGTGAAGATACCGTACTACTACACGCATAAAATATGATTTAATATCTATAAGAAGATAAACCAAATCTTCATGACTGCAACTAGGGGATTGTTTGTGAGATCTAAATGGTCCAATGCACAAGTGGGGCTCGAATAGGCAATAAAAGGCCAAAAAGGAGAAGGGGACCATATAAGATTCTTGGGATAATACCGTAGAAAGTTTGCCATCATATCATTGAGAAACATGGCACTATCCATGCAGTGCTTCTTCACTAACAAAAATACGGTTGCATGCATTATATATATATATTATGTGTGTGTGTGGATATGAATCACCAAATACAAATGAAATTTGCCTAATGAGTCATCTTCCCCTATAATTTTGATTAGTCAAATAGAGTAGGCTAACTAAACCCTTAATTATATGATAGTTCTGAAAGCTACCCCCATGATTCCCTTTACCCTTCATTCTTTTTTATTTTGTTGTGTTAGCTTAGTTATATTTGTATTTGTACGCATGCATAGATATTATATATATACACACGCACAAATCTTTTGTATAGCTTTTTAGCTATATATGCTCCCTTGGTTAATATTTATCCACTATATATATGTTTTCCCTTCTAATATCCCAAGCTATTTATAACAAAAACAAGATACTTGTAACAATTGGTATTTGTTGGTTTATATAGAATCAAACCATATATAATACATATATCAAAGTTTATTCTCTTCGCCGTTCTGATAGGTTTCAGTCTAAGTGCAACTATGTTTGCAAGAGACTGAGCATGTCATTTAAACTCAAATAACAAAAAAAAATACTATAATATATTTGTAGAAAAAGTATATTTTAAATTGTTAAACATTTGAATTAATTAGGTCTAGGATCAAAACACTCATGCATGTTCCAATCGATAAGACAAATAGGGAAATCATGATTAATAAAACAATAGGTGAATACGAGTGAGGAGTATATGAAGGTGACCTCCCCAAGATGAGCATATACCCCCACATGCATGCATATTCCAATGCACAAGCACAAACGGGCTGCGTGAGATGACACGTGTCCAACTATACCTAACATGAATTATGAGGTTAAGTAATCAAGCTTTGCTTCTTAATTTTTATACTAAGATGCCCTATAATTAAAATTAGGAAAAGATAATAAAACAATTAAATCCTAAACCATAGACAGAGACACACGGAATATGTTGTCTCCTCTCCCCGCATCTCCCCATCCGTGGTTCCGCCACCAAGCGGCACTATAAATCCGAACACTCCCCCACCCACTTAACACCCAACACTCTCCATACATATAAACTGTAACTGCTCTCCCCAGCTCCAACATTCTAATCATCATCATAATATAATAATAATAAAAGCCACATATGTTCGAGACGGTGAAGCACCTGATCGGCTCCTCCGGCCCCAGCGGCGTCGGCATGAGCATTCCATTTAATTTTCAATCAATCACGTAAACGTAAATATATTTATTTACGGAGTAAAATGAAAATCCATTAATAGCTCTCCTTCCGTCCCTTTGGTTTCTGAAATCTCTCTAATCTCAGAACCCCCCCGCCGATGACGTCACCCACGGCGCCGATCTCAGACTGCTCACCGCCGTCATCACAGGTGAGTCGCCCCTCTCTCTGTTTTCTTATTGAAACCGTGAAGAAGGAGTTTTGCGATCGAGGTTTTGTACCGGCGTAGGAGCGACGTCGGGGATAGGGGAGGAGACGGCGAGAGTGATGGCGAAGAGAGGGGCGAGGGTGGTGATTCCTGCTCGGAACGTCAAAGCGGCGGAGGAGACGAAGGCTCGGATCCAGTCGGAGTGTCCAGGTTCAGAGATAGTGGTGATGCACATGGATCTCAGCTCTCTCTCCTCCGTCCGCCGATTCGTCTCCCAGTTTGAAGCTCTCCATCTCCCTCTCAATATCCTAATGTCCGCTACTCTCCCCCTCTCACATCCCCTCTTTCTTTCTTTTGCCAATAAACCAAAGTAACTTTTTTTCTTTTTGGGAATATATATAACAGAAACAATGCGGGGAAGTACGCAGAGAAGCACTCCGTCACCGAGGACGGCATCGAGATGACGTTCGCCACTAATCATCTGGGTAAGTCTCTGCACCTGTATATATATATGTAGTTTAATCGCTTAAATAACTTCATATTCATATGGTAAATTAATCCCCCATATATACGGCGCAGGCCATTTTCTACTTACGAAGCTGTTGCTAAAGAAGATGATGGAGACTGCGAGACTGACCGGCGTCCAAGGGCGTATCGTCAACGTCTCCTCGGTTATCCACAGCTGGTTCTCCGGCCATTTGCTCCGATATGTCTCCCAAATCTCACGCAACAAGCGGTACGTAATTCCTATTTATGTATGTATATGTGGTAATTCATTTCCTCTTCATTATATGTAATGTTTTTAATGAAAATGCAACTGGTTGTAAGCGAAAAAGACGGCTTGATTTTTGGAATGATGATGATGATGATGATATATGGTTGTAGTCAATATGACGCGACTCGTGCCTACGCTCTCTCAAAGGTGGCCAACGTCTTGCACACCCTCCACCTCTCCCGCATTCTCCTTGTAAGTAAACCCTTTCCATTGTTTTTTTCTTTCTAATTACTTGTAATCATGCATCCATCCATCCTTCCTCATCAAAAGAAGAAATGTTGCAGAAAATGGATGCTAATGTGACAGCCAACTGCGTTCATCCCGGAATCGTTAGAACCCGCCTCACTAGAGATCGGGAAGGCCTCTTCACAGGTTTCATCACCCCCGCAATCATGCATATTCCTCCATGTCTCATATTACATGACGTCTTAGCACTTAACTGAAGCAGCTTATATCATAACGCCCAGATCTCGTGTTCTTCCTAACCTCCAAGCTATTGAAGACTATTCCTCAGGCCGCTGCTACGACATGTTACGTTGCAACGAGTCCAGGGCTGAGGAATGTGTCTGGCAGATACTTTGCTGACTGCAATGAAGCTTTTCCTTCCAAACTCGCTTCCGACAAAACCGAAGCTCATAAATTGTGGGCTGCTTCCGATCTCATGTCTTCCCCTCATTTTCAACGCAACTTCGGCTCCCTCTTCATCATCAACATCTCTAATCAATCATCACCCGATTCTTTTCTGTAACACATACATATATAGATTATAGAGCGTGACTCAACCCATATGCATATATGTTTATATATATATATATATATATAGGTATATAGATTTTAAGTCGTCGTTACGTAAATGTAATAGGTGTAGGCTTTTTGCAAGTCTTGTAGGCGTTTTGGATCTCTCTCTTGTATGTGTGTGTGTGTATATGTAATATGGGTTATGTGCGATTGATAATATCGGTCTAACACAATCCGGCTTTGTCCAAGATCCAATGTCCTCTGTAAAATAATTTTCAATCTTGTAATGCTCGTCGTTGATCTTAGAGCTCGAATTTTCGATTTCGACCAACGCGACCGTACCATACCATTGGGTTGGACTCTCTATTAAGCACACAAATTGCCTAGCCCCCCCCCCCCCCCGCGCT